TAAGAGCGTCTGCTAAATGACGTAAATGTAAATGTAAATGTAACGCAGATTCCTTACAGATTTACGTCTGAGGACTACTTTAAAGAAGCTGTGATGGTTCCATTCAAATACGTTACTGGGAATCTGAGTGGTGCAGTGGTCTAAGGGACTGCATCTCAGTGCTTGAGGCGTCAATACAGACCCCCTGGTTCGATTCCAGGCTTTATCACAACTGGCCGTGATTGGGAGTCCCATAGGGCGGCGCACAATTGGCCCAGCGTTGGCCGGTGTAAGCCGTCATTGTAAATAAGAATTTGTTCTTAACTGACTTGCCTAGTTAAATTAAAATAAAAATAGCTTTTAAGATATGTTTTTAATTATCTGCATAGGAAATGTTGAATTTGAAATACTACAAGTCTGCCACTGGGAATTGTGGTCAATAAACACAGGACGAGAATATTTCTGTCGACTACGAGTCGAGGTATAGCCAAAATAAATCTAGGTAGAGTTGCGGCTATTGTGATCAATAAGCCTATGTACAGTTGAAGTCGGAAGTTTACATACACCTTAGCCAAATACATTTAAAACTCACTCTTTCAACATTTCTGATATTTAATCATAGTAAAAGTTCCCTGTCTTAGGTCAGTTAGGATCACCACTTTATTTTAAGAATGTGAAATGTCAGAAGGATGAACCAGACTTGTGGAGGTCTACAAAAAAAAATCTGAGGTCTTGGCTGATTTCTTTTGATTTTCCCATGATGTCAAGCAAAGAGGCACTGAGTTTGAAGGTAGGCCTTGAAATACATCCACAGGTACACCTCCAATTGTCTCAACTGATGTCAAATCGCCTATCAGAAGCTTCTAAAGCCAATTTTCCAAGCTGTTTAAAGGCACAGTCAACTTAGTGTATGTAAACTTCTGACCCACTGGAATTGTGATACACTGAATTAGAAGTGAAATAATCTGTCTGTAAACAATTGTTGGAAAAATTACTTGTGTCATGCACAAAGTAGATGTCCTAACTGACTTGCCAAAACTATAGTTTGTTAACAAGAAATTAGTAGAGTGGTTGAAAAACGAGTTTTAATGACTCCAACCTAAGTGTATGTAAACTTCCGACTTCAACTGTATTTTCACATACATTGAACTGACATGCCATTGTTTCCCCTCAGATTTTGTTCAGCAGTGGTGTCAAGGGTAGAGTGCATTGCTACTAGTGTTGCAATGACATGCTAGATGTTCCCACAGAATTCCAAACATTGAGCCAATGACTATTCTTTTAAAAGCGCGTCTCGGCAGAAATATACACTACCAGTCAAAAGTTTGGACACACCTACTCATTCAAGGGTTTTTATATTTTTTATATTGTAGAATAATCATCAAAACTATGAAATAACACATATGGAATCATGTAGTAACCCAAAAAGTGTTAAACAAACCAAAATATATTTTGTATTTGAGATTCTTCAAATAGCCAACCTTTGCCTTGATGACAGCTTTGCACACTCTTGGCATTCTCTCAACCAGCTTCATAAGGTAGTCACCTGGAATGCATTTCAAGTAACAGGTGTGCCTTCTTAAAAGTTAATTTGTTGAATTTCTTTCCTTCTGAATGCGTTTAAGCCAATCAGTTGTGTTGTGACAAGGTAGGGGGGTATACAGAAGACAGCCCTATTTGGTAAAATGCCAAGTCCATATTATGGCAAGAACAGCACAAATAAGCAAAGAGAAATGACAGTCCATCATTACTTTAAGACATGAAGGTCAGTCAATATGGACAATTTCAAGAACTTTGAAAGTTTCTTCAAGTGCAGTCACAAAAACCATCAAGCGCTATGATGAAACTGGCTCTCATGTGGACCGCCACAGGAATGGAAGACCCAGAGTTACCTTTGATGTAGAGGATAAGTTCATTAGAGATACCAGCCTCAGAAATTGCAGCCCAAATAAGTGCTTCACAGAGTTCAAGTCACAGACGCATCTCAACATCAACTGTTCAGAGGGGACTGTTTGAATCAGGCCTTCATGGTCGAATTGCTGAAAAGAAACCACTACTAAAGGACACCAATAAGAAGAGGAGACCTGCTTGGGCCAAGAAACACGAGCAATGGACTTTAGAGACCGGTGGATATTTGTCCTTTGGTCTGGAGTCCAAATTTGAGATTTTTGGTTCCAACCGCCGTGTCTTTGTGAGACGCGGTGTGGGTGAACAGATGATCTCTGCATGTGTAGTTCCCACCGTAAAGCATGGATGTGTTATGGTGTGGGGGTGCTTTGCTGTTGACACTGTCTGTGATTTATTTAGAATTCAATGTGTTAGTTCATAGTTTTGATGTTTTCACTATTATTCTACAATGTAGAAAATAGTAAAAATAAAGAATAACCCTTGAATGAGTAGGTGTGCCAAAACTTTTGACTGGTAATGTATATACAAAAATATATATACAAAAATTATATATTTCGGAAACACTGCATAGTCCTGCAGTGAGAGTAACCTCTGACCTTAGTCAATAGCTATAGCAAGCAGACCAGGGGCAGAGCGATCAAGGTTGACATGGAAGACCTCCTGTCACTCAGCATCAACATAAACAATGACTCCTCTCCTCTTCACCAACATCACTCATTATTTTTGGTGTCAACATTACCGCAATGATGCCTTTGGAAACAGTCAATCAAGTATCTGGGGCTTGTTTGTCCCTTAAAGACATGCTCCGGAACATTGGCGACTAATAAGTATTTTTTTTACTTCCCGCTTTGGGCTGGATGTGTCAATGTGTAGTTCATGCATAATCTAAGGGCAGAATTACAGTCTTACCTCAATTAGCCATGAAATCCCTAGTTTGAAAGCAACCATTTTTTTTGGGAAGCTCTGATGTGCCATTTTCCCTAAATGTTCCCCCACGTGGGCCAGTCCCCTAGTAATTTGAGTTCAACCAATGAGCTTCAGCCCCTCGCCATATGAGTGACAGATAGCAAGATGCACATGATGCACTCACAGTAGAGCGAGAGCAATGATGTGATACTCGTGACGTAGTACACAATTTTCAGGGACCACTTTTGGCTCATAAGCGCTCATTTCAGAACTACTGGCTAAAAAGTATACAAAAGTACCGAAGAATCCCTTTAATAGACTATTAAATGATGATTAATGTAACAGTAACATAAGGATTCCAATAAACTGTACAAGATGGAAACTAGGCTACAATGTCCGTCTTTGTCTTGTCAACAGATTTAATCTTGAATGACTGGCCAATTGCCTTCATGTCTTAATAATAAACTACATAAACTATTTTGACTCTGGAAAAGAAAGATGCAATCCTGCAAGCTTCATGTCTGGTCCTCTTCTGCAATGGTGCTTGATGACATCCTCTGTCAGGAACCACATTCTTCATTGTAATGAAAGCACTTCTGCAGATGGAAGACAGCAGGAGCCCTGCAGTCATCCTTCTCAAACTTAATGAAAGTTAGCATGCAATAATGGGATGACAAAACAAATCCCCATACATTCTCCTCAGCCTGCCAGGCAGTGAGGTTTGAAGAAGCCTCCAGGCAGAAAACCATCCCAAGCTGATACCATAACAAATGGAGCAGGTGCCAAAGTGCAGGCTCTGTATACCTGACCACAGAGGGAAACCTGAAACCTGTGTGTGTGTGTGTGTGTGTGTTTAACTATTCTTGTGGGGACCAGAAGTCTACTAAATGATGTAAATGTAAGATAGTAAACAAACAAAAGTTGGACCAACTGGTGACATTTTCTTAGTCCCTACAAGGTCAAATGCTATTTTTAGGGGGTTTAGGGTTAAGGTTAGAATTACATTAAGGGCTAGGGTTAGTTTTAGGGTTAGGGGTTAGGTTTAGGGTTAGGTTTTTGGGTTAAGGTTAGGGTTAGGGTTATGGAAAATAGGATTTTGAATGGGACTGAATTGTGTGTCCCCACAAGGTTAGCTGTGTGTTTGTGTGTGAGAGAGGGAGAGGCCAAAGGTGAAGGTTCTAAACTAGCTAGAGTGAAAGTGAGAGTAAAATAGTGTGAGTGTTGTGAAATTGACAGACAGAGGAGCAAAACACAATGGCAGGTATCACCAGAGGACACAATTCTCAGAAAACAGGTTTAAAGCTGAATCGTTGTTAAGTATTTTGTAAATAACAGACACCTTTCGTCAGAACTAACTGATCTAACAGCTTGGGATGATGACTCATAAGAGGGCTGCTGTTAGAAAAACCCCATTGATGTTCCCTTAGAGGAAGGACACTTATAATAGTAACTGTACTACATGTGGTCATTACGAGACAGCATCCAAGATGGCTTCATTTTATAGCATGTTACAGAGAACATAACTGAACCATACAGGGCAGAAGTGCCAGTAAAAGGTTTTGCAGCCAAATCCAGCTATCAACCAGGGAGGGAGATGCAGAGCTTTGCCATCCAGTTACCTCCTAAAGTTTCATTCTGAACACACACCGTGTTTCCCACTTCAGATCAGAATAAGAAGCCTGTCTCTCCCAGTGGGCAGCGCACAGCAGCACACATTAAAGAGAGTGTTTCACAGGCTGCCGGTCTAAGGGGAGAAGAGTGGGAGAGAGGAGTAGCGATCACACAGAGATGAGAGGTGTGAAGAGCAGGAGGTGGTCCAAGGGAGACACGCATTCGCACATGCTCATATATCTGAGGAGCTATAGATACAGGCAGGTTTACAGTAACAGATATGTAAACATACCAATTACAGTAGCCTACACGGTGAACTGTATCGATCTCTGGTTTGAAACTTCTCATTACCAATGCATAAGGTAGAACTCAGTTCAAAATGGCATAAGAGAGGCATCATCTGGACTGAATCTCAACATTTCATTGAATAATGGGCACTTACAGAATATTAGAAACTGAACGAACGTAACCATACAATCCAGTGGTACTCATGAAAGCATAGAAATAAAAGGAACTACTATACATGTCAATGCAGCGCAGAGCTGAATGAGCGTCTGTGTCTCTAGGAGGGCGGCTACATTTCCCTCCAGCTATACCTGGGCCAGGCTCTGGGTCAGCCTGCGATAGCGTTCCACACCCACCAGGGGGCTCAACCTCCTCCTCCTCCTCCTCCTCTCCCTGTTCCTCTGCCACTCCTCCCTGCACCTCTCCCTGTTCATCTGCCACTCCTCCCTGCACCTCTCCCTGTTCCTCTGCCACTCCTCCCTGCACCTCTCCCTGTTCCTCTGCCACTCCTCCCTGCACCTCTCCCTGTTCCTCTGCCACTCCTCCCTGCACCTCTCCCTGTTTCTCTGCCACTCCTCCCTGTACCTCTCCCAGTTCCTCTGCCACTCCTCCCTGCTCCTCTCCCTGTTCCTCTGCCACTCCTCCTTGCACCTCTCCCTGTTCCTCTGCCACTCCTCCCTGCACCTCTCCCTGTTCCTCTGCCACTCCTCCCTGTTCCTCTGCCACTCCTCCCTGCTCCTCTCCCTGTTCCTCTGCCACTCCTCCCTGTTCCTCTGCCACTCCTCCCTATTCCTCTGCCACTCCTCCCTGTTCCTCTCCCTGTACCTCTGCCACTCCTCCCTGCTCCTCTCCCTGTTCCTCTGCCACTCCTCCCTGCTCCTCTCCCTGTTCCTCTGCCACTCCTCCCTGCACCTCTCGCTGTTCCTCTGCCACTCCTCCCTGCACCTCTTGAGTCCCTATGCAGAGCCTGGATCAGGGGGCTCGATGTTTCTCATTCCGCTACTCTTCCTCCTCTCCTTCTCAGTCTCCCCCTCGCCAAGGAGCAGAGACGATCTTCGTACTGGGTGACTTCAAGTGGGGCGGTCGGGGAGCCAGAAGATCCCTGTCGGTGGACGTAATGGAGCATGACAGCGCATTTGACACTGCCAGAGGTCAGCAGAGGGGTCAGGTCAGTCACAGCGGTCACTGCCAGTCTGTGTCTGTCTGTGTCACAGGCTCCACTGGCACCGTCTCGCCTGCTCCTCTTGGCCGCAGGCTCTGGGTGAGAGCAGGGAGATGGGGTCTTGGTGTGGGGGGGGGCTGGGTGTGGGGAACCAGGACGCTTGGCTGTGGGTCTGGATGACCGTGGGCGCCTGGCACTGGCCTGCCTATGTCAGGATGGATAAAGTCACACTCTCCGCTGAGCTGGAACAAAAATATATAACACGTCAGGAACAATCACTTGGACACGGTAGGCTGCTGCACAGGGAATCAATTACATTTAGCATTCATGAAGTGAGTGAGCTAGTGAGTGCCAGCAGCATACCACCCTGCATCCGACTGCTGGCTTGCCTCTGAAACTAAGCAGGGTTGGTCCTGTTCAGTCCCTGGATGGGAGACCAGATGCTGCTGGAAGTGGAGTGGGAGGGCCAGTAGGAGGCACTCTTTCCTTTGGTCTAAAAATATATATATCCCAATGCCCCAGTGTCACACCCTGGCTATGGGACTCTAGTTGTTGAGCCAGGGTGTGTTTGTTCTATGTGGTGTGTTTCTATGTTGGGGGTTCTGGTTTGTTGTTTTCTATGTTTGCCTTAGTGACTCCCAATCAGAGGCAACAAGTGTCAGCTGTTGGCTGGTTGTCTCTGATTGGGAGCCATATTTAACTGTCTGTTTTTCACTTTGTGTTTGTGGGTTTTTGTTCCGTGTTGGTCATTGTTACCAAGGACGTCACGAGTCGTTTGTTGTTTTGTTTCGTGCTTTATTAAATAAAGTAACATGTTCGTTCATCACGCTGCGCATTGGTCTACTTCTCTCCCTGACGATCGTGACAGAAAAACCCACCAAGATGTGACCAAGCAGCGTGTCCAGGAGCCATCGCCAGGGAGATCCCTAACAGATCTCCTTCGCCTCCTCGACTGGGTCAAGCCGAGTGAGGAAGAGAAGGGCTTGACCTTGTGGCAGAAGGGCGAAAGGCTGGCGAGGGACATGGAGACCTGGTCCACGGGTAGGGGAGACGCCCAGAAATTTTTTAGGGGGGGGCTAACGCCGTGGACGACGGGGCAGCAGGAGGACGCCAGGTTACGGGAGTCACTGGTCACCAGGGGGAAGGAGGTTGTAGAGGCACGGCGAGAGGTACTGGCGTGTGTTGCCAGTCCGGTCCGGCCTGTTCCTGATCCCCACGTTGGGCCAGTGGTGTGTGTTCCCAGTACGGTCCGGCCTGTTCCTGCCACTCGCACCAAGTCTACGGTGCGCATCGCCAGCTCGGCCCGGCCCATTCCTGCTCCCCGCACCAAGTCTGTGGTGCGCGTCGCCAGCCCAGTCCGGCCCATTCCTGCTCCCCGCACCAAGTCTGTGGTGCGTTTCGTCAGCCCTGTCCGGCCCGTTCCTGCTCTCCGCACCAAGTCTGTGGTGCGCGTCGCCAGCCCAGTCCGGCCCATTCCTGCTCTCCGCACCAAGTCAGTGGTGCGCGTCGTCAGCCCGGCACGGCCCGTTCCTGCTCCCCGCACCAAGTCAGTGGTGCGCTTCGTCAGCCCGGCTCGGCCCGCTCCTGCTCCCCACACCAAGCCAGTGGTGTGCGTCGTCAGTCCGGCACGGCCCGTGCCTGTTCCACCGGTGGCGGGTCCGGCACCGGTCAGGTGCTGCGTCACGCCGGAGCTAGAGCAATCCGCTCCACCAGTGTTCAGTTCAGCTCTGGTCAGCAGGGCCAGACCGGACCAGGGGTACTTTGGGGGGTTAGAGAAGGAGTGGGGGTCAAGCCCGGAGCCAGAACCGCCGCCGAGGAGGTATGCCCACCCAGCCCTCCCCTGTTTTGCTCTTTTTGAGGCGCGGTCGCAGTCCGCGCCTTTAGGGGGGGGGTACTGTCACACCCTGGCTATGGGACTCTAGTTGTTGAGCCAGGGTGTGTTTGTTCTATGTGGTGTGTTTCTATGTTGGGGGTTCTGGTTTGTTGTTTTCTATGTTTGCCTTAGTGACTCCCAATCAGAGGCAACGAGTGTCAGCTGTTGGCTGGTTGTCTCTGATTGGGAGCCATATTTAACTGTCTGTTTTTCACTTTGTGTTTGTGGGTTTTTGTTCCGTGTTGGTCATTGTTACCAAGGACGTCACGAGTCGTTTGTTGTTTTGTTTCGTGCTTTATTAAATAAAGTAACATGTTCGTTCATCACGCTGCGCATTGGTCTACTTCTCTCCCTGACGATCGTGACACCCAGGGTAGTGATTGGGGACATTGCCCTGTGTAGGGTGCCGTCTTTCGGATGGGATGTTAAACGGGTGTCCTGACACTGTGGTCACTAAAGATCCCATGGCACTTATCGTAAGAGTAGGGGTGCTAACCCCGGTGTCCTGGCTAAATTCCCAATCTGGCCCTCATACCATCATGGCCACCTAATCATCCCCAGCTTTCAATTGGCTCATTCATCCCCTGTAACTATTCCCCAGGTCGTTGCTGTAAATGAGAATGTGTTCTCAGTCAACTTAAGGGATAAATGAGTAAATTAAAGAACAAACAGATGAGTCTGGAGAGCCTATGTGCTACTTGAGCTGTACCAGTGTGCTGTTAACCTGCAGCAGCACTGAGGGCCCCCAAGCAATTCCATCATAAAGATGATACTCTCAAGACATGTGCCCAAGTTAAACCAGGTGGAGCAACTTGGACTCTTGATTGGTCTGCGCTTCCACAGAATCAGCTCCGAGAGCTATTGGAGAGTGTGTTGCCATGGTGACCAGACAGGCATGTGGCTGCTGTGGAGTAATTTCTCAGAAAGTCTGGAGTTATCGCCTGAGAGAGACTGCCGCTTAACAGTAGCTCTTCTATGCTGTGGAAGGTGAGACATTATTGACGTCTTGCTTTGAGTGCACTTCACAGGGATAAACAGCGTTTGATGTTAGGTTTGTTTGCTATATATCCTCATCAATGCAATGATCAAAGTTGTGATATTGAGACAAATGTCCAGAGGGGAAACATTCTCCTTCAGGTGTGATTTAAGTGAGTGGTTTTTAAGATTAATATTCTGGTAATTTTTTCTGGCTTTTGATTTGGGGAATTGCTTTCGTTGGTAGATAAAGAAATCTGGTCAGACACCAGCTGTGGGATCTAACAGCTGGTAAGTGGCACTCACCAGGCAGGAACCATGGTTGACTGAACCCCATTAACACATACAATCATTATATTAACACTGCCGCTATCATTACCATAGACATGCCCTCAGCTCCATAACATTAACAAGATATAATGAAGATTTGAAGCGTCACAATTCAATATTAACACGTGATGTTCAATGACGCGTAACTGAGGAAAATAAGACATTTGGGATGCAATGTTCATAGGGCTCACAAACAAGCTCACCTGAAAGTGAAAATATCCATGATATAATAGAGATAAGTATTTTTACATGGTTCTCTCTGTGGTTAGTTTCACATCCACAATCAAGCGGTCTTCAATGACGCGGTGGCAAAGCTTGTCCACTAGAGGTGGTGGCAACACTGGTTTGAATATCTTAAAGCACGATCAGGCCTTAATGGCCATGTACTCTTATAATCTCCACCCGGCACAGCCAGAAGTGGACTGGCCACCCCTCAGATCCTGGTTCCTCTCTAGGTTTCTTCCTATGTTCCTGCCTTTCTAGGGAGTTTTTCCTAGCCACCGTGCATCTACATCTGCATTGCTTGCTGTTTGGGGTTTTGGCTGGGTTTCTGTATAAGCACTTTGCGACATATGCTGATGTAAAAAGGGCTTTATAAATACATTTGATTGATTGATTGTATAACCTGCATCTTCTAATCCGTGGCCTCGTCCTCTGACTTGTCGTCCTCATCCCATAGAGACACAAGTCCTTCCTGTTAGAGAGGATCAGAGACTACCATCAACACCAATATGATAACAGTTACTTACATCTAAATGGCATATATTGAATGGTATGAAAGATCATGATAATGTAAGAAAGATAAGCGTGACTAGGCCATTGACAATCACCTGCTCTGTCTGGGTAAGAACGTGTTCTCTTCCTGAGACCACATCTGTGAGGGCTTGGACTGACTGGCGTAGAACCCTCTCCTTCACATCTCTGAAGATCCTGGTGCGAGGTCAAGCCAATCTATAGATACACAACAGAGGGGGAAATATCAACAACAACATGTTTGATAAACTGGAATATCGTTGCATCTGGACAATAGACTCCAAACATGACAACTGTTTAATCATTTACACGTTGTTCTCATTAGTACCCAAATACACAACTATAGAATAACAGCTGTGATGTTGTTCTCTTTAATGTAACAATATACCGGTAGTCTGGCCTGTAGAGCTTCAATAGTTAAGAGGTAGTTCTCCTGAGCTGTATCAGATGTGTTCCGTCCTTCACTGCTCTCCTGTCCATGCTGAAACATACAACAATCTTCACACATCAGAACTGGATTATAAGTGGGGTGTTATAAGACTGGTAAAGAAGAACAAAATAGTACAGCGTCTCACAGAATAGGTTGTCCCGCAGAGATCTGTGATGAGGTATTGATCAACTGGACCCACAGGAGGGCTCTGGCTTCCAAAGACCAGCAGCATCTGATCTGTTCCACAGCCCACAAAGTAATCCACATTGATGGAGCTCACACCTGACCAGCATGATGCTACCTGAGGGAGACAGAGCAGGGCCATGAGAATTATACAGTTTTACACAGTAAGCAATGTGCATGATGATCACACAAAATAGCATTCCAATACCTGAAAAGTACCTTTCCATACTGCATAGACATGTCCATGGTTGAAAGAGATGGCAAACAGACATCCATTCCGTCCAGTGTTGACCATTTGAATGTGTTGAGGTTCTTCAAAAGGGAACCCGGCATACCTCTCTGGGAATGCCATTCTCAAACTACATCAATTGCTTTTTACTGGTCGCTGCCACCAGTTGATTTCGACACACTGTTCAGTGAGATCACAAATACACACTGTGTGATGGAACTATAGGCATGAGGTAAGATCAGAGTGCTGTTAAATACTTGTCCGTCCTCTACAAAATACCCCAGGGTTTTGCTCCCCCCTGGAGAGTCCAACTGATCATTCAGGCATTCTTTGGATAGTGTTTGGGAACCTAGTATGAATATTTTCCTTTTGTTGAGGGGATCCTCACCAATAAAGTTCAGAGAGAGCTTGGTAGGCATTTGACTAACTTCACCTGCTTACAGGGAAATGTAAAAGACAACACCTTCATGGCTCCATATAACAGTAGGGCCCTGCAAGACAGTAACATTGTCTTTCATCTGGTATGGTAGTTTAAACTCCATATGTGTCTCTAATCTATTTGACCTGCTCAGAGTGAGAAGCCAGTAAAATACATGGTGAAGTGACCGTTTCCCACATGTAGGGCAAAGGTGCATGCCACTATATCAACATCTGATTAACTCTTTCTGTTGATAACAGCCATATTACCACCATCCCCCCCTTGTAATATCCCCCCTTGAGAAAGGGGGGATGTGGTCCTCTGTAGCTCAGCTGGTAGAGCACGGCGCTTGTAACGCCAAGGTAGTGGGTTCGATCCCCGGGACCACCAATACACAAAAATGTATGCTTTGGATAAAAGCGTCTGCTAAATGGCATATTATTATTAGAAAGTGCAGCCATCCCGTTGAAATGTCAGTCTGCTGAAGGCCAGTTCTGATCCTCTTCGACTTTCGCCATCTCTGGGAATGGAGCGTTTGCACTGAAATGTGAGAATGTCACCACGGAAGGAAAGTAATTTCATGTGTTGGCTGGGACTGACTTGTGTCATTGTGGTACTATTACCGCGTTCAAGTGCTAGTCAGAACTAGGACAATCGGAAATGTTCGACTTGCTAATGGGTAGTAGTTACACACGTGCCGCGTTCAACCAATTAGCAAGTCGGACATTTCCGGGTTTCCTAGTTCCGAGTAGCACGTGGACCGTGGCTGAACGGCTCAGCTGCTGACGGTAACTAACGTTAGCCAACTAGCTAGCGAATTTATTAACTTGCACTAAGCCCGAACAAACATGTAGTTAGCTAACTAGATACGTGATTTAGCTATAAAAAATTAGAACAGATGATGTTTACCCACACAGAGTGATTGGGCAACAGTTTGTCCAATACTTAGCTATCAAACATAACTGCTCAAAAGTGAAAACAACACGCCAGCAGGCTGGGTGCGCTCGATTCATGTCGCCAGTGTGGAAGACGTGAAGTTATGTTGATGGGCAACACCCAAAATGGGTCATATACGTTTAAATGGTTATAAAGCTATAAATATATAACCGTATAACTTTTTATAATATTATAAGTCTCATATAAGGCTTTACTCTGCAACTACTTTTGCTCAGTATTTGCCGCTCATCCGGGTATCCGGAGCAGCACATAACGGGATAGCCAGTCTTGTCGGCGACAACAGTACAATTTTTGTCATCAACGCTTACGTTGATAAATATTTAAATAAACCATGAATGTTCTTTACATTTGATTGAATGGACCTGAGATATCTTATTTTTATGTATCACTTTGATGATCTAGCCAAGAGCCAAAATGGCAATACAAGGGCAACAGCTTCATACACTAGAACTGATTCATCCGTCAACTTCAATGTACCCACACTAGCCAGAACAGCAGAGTCACTTGAACATGGCGGAAGTTGGGCAGTTCGAAACAGAGCAGGTAGCCCACCAGTTTATTTTTTAGCAATAATACATACATTTTGCTAGGCATTTTGTTATGAAAAAAATGCGTTCATTACACAATGCTAACTTATCTCTCTTATACAACAGGACATTGAGAAGAAGATTTTGGAGACGAGACAGAAGTTCAAGAATGAGTACATCCAAGGACAAGGTAAGTTCATGCTAACAGGCTAGTTAGGTAGCAAAATAACATTTTCAACAACATCCCCATAATCTAGCTAGTTAGCTACTGTAACAGCTAGCTAGCTGTTAGCTAAAAGCCAGATATCATGGGCTGTTCGTTTTGAGTCCATCCACCTAGCTATTTTTACTTAGTTAGCGCAACAAAGTATCATCCTCATAGCTACCAGTCAGTTGTCTGACATATTGTTCTGATACATTAATGAATGGATGAAAAAGTATTATTAGTTTGCCTTCTGGCAGTGACATGACATATTTCTGTTCACACCATGATTATGATCTAAACTACGTTTTTTTGTAATAGAAAAGCCTGTTATTTTGAGTAGCCTACTTGGTGTAGACTTTAAAGCCATACTAAATGCCTTTCACTTCCCTGATAAGCATTGTTGAGAGACCAATCCATCTTTGAAAGAACACTTGTTTCCTAAACAATCTTTATATTGGTAGCTACATGTCAGCATTTTCCTAAATGAGGTAGCTGAAGGCAGCCTTGTTTTGTAAATGGGGCTAAATGCTGTCTTCACACTATGGTTGGGTCTTGTCGTAAAAGGTTAGAAGCAACAAACTCATAGGTGCTGTAAGTGTTGTTGTTGTACACAATCAGTCAAAAGTTTGGACACGAACTCATTCAAGGGTTTCTCTTTAGTTTTACAATTTTTTACATTGTAGAATAATAGTGAAGACATCAAAACTATGAAATAACACATATGGAATCATGTAGTAACCAAAAAAGTGTTAAACACATCAAAATACATTTTATATTTGAGATTCTTCAAATAGCCACCCTTTGCCTTGACAGCTTTGCACACTCTTGGCATTCTCTCAACCAGCTTCATGAGGTAGTCACCTGGAATGCATTTCAATTAACAGGTGTGCCGCCTTAAAAGTTAATTTGTGGAATTTCTTTCCTTCTTAATGCGTTTGAGGCAATCAGTTATGTTGTGACAAGGTAGGGGGGGTATACAGAAGATATCCCTATTTGGTAAAATACCAAGTCCATATTATGGCAAGAACAGCTCAAATAAGCAAAGAGAAACGACAGTCCATCATTACTTTATGACATGAAGGTCAGTCAATACGGAACATTTCAAGAACTTTGAAAGTTTCTTCAAGTGCAGTCGCAAAAACCATCAAGCGCTATGATGAAACTGGCTCTCATGAGGACCACCACAGGAATGGAAGACCCAGAGTTACCTCTGCTGCAGAGGATAAGTTCATTAGAGTTACCAGCCTCAGAAATTGCAGCCCAAATAAATACTTCAGAGTTCAAGTCACAGACACATCTCAACATCAACTGTTCAGAGGGGACTGTGTGAATCAGGCCTTCATGGTCGAATTGCTGCAAAGAAAGAGACCTGCTTGGGCCAAGAAACACGAGCAATGGACATTAGACCGGTGGAAATTTGTCCTTTGGTCTGGAGTCCAAATTGGAGATTTTTGGTCTTTTTGAGACGCGGTGTGGGTGAACGGATGATCTCCGCATGTGTAGTTCCCACCGTAAAGCATGGAGGAGGACGTGTTATGGTGTGGGGTGCTTTGCTGGTGACACTGTCTGTGATTTATTTAGAATTTAAGGCACACTTAACCAGCATGGCTACCACAGCATTCTGCAGCGATACGCCATCCCATCTGGTTTTGGCTTAGTGGGACTATCATTTGTTTTTCAACAGGACAATGACCCAACACACCTCCAGGCTGTGTAAGGGCTATTTGACTAAGAAGGAGAGTGATGGAGTTCTGCATCAGATGACCTTGCCTCCACAATCCTCCGACTTCAACCCAATTGAGATGGTTTGGGATGAGTCGGATGGCAGAGTGAAGGAAAAGCAGCCAACAAGTGCTAAACATATGTGGGAACTCCTTCAAGACTGTTGGAAAATCATTCCAGGTGAAGCTGGTTGAGAGAATGCCAAGAGTGTGCAAAGCTGTCATCAAGGCAAAGGGTGGCTATTTGAAGAATCTCAAATATAAAATATATTTTGATTTGTTTAACACTTTTTTGGTTACTACATGATTCCATATGTGTTATTTCATAGTTTTGATTTCTTCACTATTATTCTACAATGTAGAAAATAGTCAAAATAAAGAAAAACCCTTGAATGAGTAGGTTTGTCCAAATCTTTGACTGGTAGTGTAGGTCAGACGTTGGAGTAGGTATTCAGTTTCATGTGAGTGATGTAAGTTGTTTACTTCTCTATCCCTCACAGAATCAGACAAATATGACTCCAGAGATGTGGACAGGCTACAAAAGGATGATGCTCTGGTGGAGGCATACCTGACATGGCGACTATACTCTGTGGACGATGCCCTGAAGATGATTGATGACAGTTTCCTGTGGAGGAAAGAGTTTGGTTTGAATGGTGAGCAGTCTGGGCACATATTTAACCTCTCGTAAAACTGCACTGCACGTGCACATGTTTTCAGAAAATGAAGAAGTTGTCAGTGTCGGTCATCAATGAATCACCCTTGATTCCGCTGTTTTTTATCTATGCATAGTCACTTTACCCCTACCTACATGTACAAATTACCTCGACTAACCTGTACCTCCGCACATTGACTCTGTACCGGTACCCCCTGTATATAGCCTCACTATTATTATTTTATTGTGTAACTTTTTTAAATATTTACTTTAGTTGTTTTAGTAAATATTTTCTTAACTCTATTTTCTTAACTGCATTGTTGGTTAAGGGCTTGTAAGTAAGCATTTCAAGGTAAGGTCTACTACACCTGTTGTATTCGGCGCATGTGACAAATAGAGTAGATAAATCAAATCATATTTTATCTGAGAAGCCTGTGGTTGTATTTGTACCCTACAACATCTGACTTTGGCCTTGTTTAGGTTTGAGTGTAGAAAACAGGAACAGCACACATTCTCACTCCCTGCTAAACTAGTATCCTAACTGTATTCAAATACAGGCAAGTTATACAGAGCAGTTTAATTTGGGCCTATCAGTATCACCACACTGTGGGAGGATGAATCAGTAGCTGTCTTTGTGTGCCAATGTGGGATAGATTCTTGGCCTTCTCTCAGATAAAGGCTTATTGTGTGCTGTGTGGCAATATCTCCATCCGTTCCGCACGGAGACAATCCTCTATTTTTCTTAAGTTTCACTTTTAAATTGCTGCATTTTACTCATGCAAATACAGACAACATTCAGTTTGTTAAATCGGTGTCATGCAGAAATTAGATTTACGAACATTATCTCTTCCAATTGCCAAAGTTCTGATATCGACAATGACTTAATGTCACTTGTTGACAAGTTTTGTCTGTCTTGTATGGAGGAGAGGATTTAGGAATACTTTGGTTTTTAAGATAAATATTTTGTCCAGTAATTGTTCCTGTTATGAAATGTTCTTATTGAATGCTGTTTTAGATTGTTGGCTGTGAATGTTTTGTCTTGTTTCAGACCTCACTGAGAGCAGCATTCCAAAGTGGATGTTTGAGACGGGGGCTGTCTTCCTCCACGGCTATGACAAGGAAGGCAACAAGCTCTGTATGTTGATTAATGATGCTCATACTGCACCATATGTGTAATTGATTTGACTCTAATAATTACTCACCGACACAATATTATTACCCCTTACAAAAGGATACCAAAAATGGTAAGCCTTTGTTCTATAATATGTTTAACACATATGTTGAGGTTATTGAATGCAATACTTTTGTCTGTGTTTTCAGTCTGGTTCAAAGTCAAGCTACATACCAAGGATGCAAAGACCAGCATGGACAAGAAGAAGTATGTTGCCTTCTGGCTGGAGCGCTATGCTAAGAGAGAGCCAGGGATGCCACTCACTGTTGTGTTCGACATGGCTGATTCAGGGATCAGCAATATCGTAAGTGAACACTTACCTTTTTGATTAACATTGTAGTCTTTTCTTGTATTTGTCAACTGCCCTTATTATTTGATAGTGTTTGAAGAATCACTGTAGTGTCATCCAAGGCTACAGTATGTCAATAGCTCTGCTTTCAACCAATGTCACTGTTGATCCACAGATTAAAGGAGAGCTTTATTGGTTAATTTCTGTCCTCCATAATTAAACATGTTTTCCCCATTTTCAAAAAGAAGTAGCCTACGTCTGTCTGTGTGTGGTTATGAGTGTCATTGAAGTCCTGTTGAGCATCCTAATTCTGCTTGCTGTTTGAGCCAGGAACTTGGAGGGATTGGTGCTCTTCAATGGTTTAACACATTGGAGATTAAAGTGACCTTTAAATTAGTTTGGTCAATCCAAGTCGGCTGACGGCCTAATCCATAGACTGACTTTGTCCATTGGAGCCTCCCAGCAGGCACTCTCCTTTCTGTCAGCCAGCTCGCTTCACAGGCCAAACTCTCTCCTGGAGAAATTACCCAGTTAAATACACACACACACACACTTGCCAGAGAGAGGATAAATAACTTCACGAAACCCAAATATGAAATTAGTAGATCAGTTTGGGGAGCAGTCTTAATGAAGTTTGCTGAAATAGCCCACTGTGTGGGCTGGAACAGGCCTGGCCAGTGTTATCTCTAATTTTCTTTGGGAGTCTAGTGCAGTGGTTCCCAACCAGGGGTACCAGGGTACTTGGCCTATCCACAGGGGGTACTTGAGAAGAATCATGAGACCATAGGCCTACTGGTAAAATGCACATGAGGGGCTACTTCAGGGGTACTCTGGGCAGAGCAAAATTCAGTAGGTGGTACAGTAACCAAAAAAGGTTGGGGACCATTGGTCTAGTGCAGTGTTTCCCAACCCTGGTCCTCGAGTGCCCCCAACACTACACATTTTTATTGTAGCCCTGGACAAGCACACCTGTGTACTGTTGGGGGTACTCAAGGACCAGGGTTGGGAAACACTGGTCTAGTGCATGGCAATAAGTCTGTCTGTAGGGCATGGGATGTAGACAGGCTGATAGGCTCCTCTTCCTAAGGGTCTGACTAGATTGCTAGTACTGTTGTCTAATGATAATATGGCCATTATGGTAATGAAAAACGTGTGCTACCTTTGACTGAGCAGGGCTCTACAGTGTGACCATTATACTTGCATATGCGCCTAAATATGTTGTTGTGCGACCTGGAATTTTAATTTAGGACCACTAGTGCACATAGAAAAATGAAGGATTCTAGCTTTAATATCTCATATTTTTCATTGTGCTCCTACATTTCTTTGTGTGTGCCTGCATTTTTCAACACATGCTCCTTGTAAAAAAAGGTCAGCGTAGAGCCCTGCTGAGTAAATTCTCATGAAGGAGGCATTTCATGTTAGCTGTAATCCATTCAACTGACTGAAAAGTTTTAGATACCAGTAGTCTTGTGTGTTTGTATAAAGATCCACCTCTGTCCTTGTTTCAGAGGCCTCAGGACAGATAGCATTGGGTTGTTTAGAGAACACATTTGCACACACAAAAAGGACACTTTTGAGTTTCAAAGCTGTCTGTAGTTAACTCAGCCAAGGCTTGATACTGTATGTAGAGCGAGTTTATGCAACCTTTTATGAAGATCAAGGTTACGCAATCATAAAGTAAACAACCAGACTGTGCAACGTTTCAGCAAATACTGTGAATGGATTACAGTTAATAATACAATCTGAGCAATGCAAGAGTAGGCTAGCCTTAGTTGTGGTGTTGCATGGGCACTGTATCTTACGATTTCCCCTGAAATATAGTGAATATGATTGAGGTGAGGGAAGGTGTTTGAAAGTATGAAATGTATTGACTACAGGTTTGTTCAGTTTTGTGACAAAGTTTAAATGGTTATGAATTGGGTCTTTGCAGATCTAGCTTGAGGCAGTAAATATCTCCCGCTGAGCAAACGGGTTCCCTATAGAAAGGCCATAAAACGTCTTTGAGGCTGTATAGTATTGTTCTTTCTGAGTACTTATACTCTTTCTTTTTCAGGACATGGATTTTGTGAAGTATATCATTAATTGCTTCAAAGTGTATTATCCAAAGTTTCTATGTAAGTATATTTAACATTTTAGTCATTTAGCAGACGCTCTTATCCAGATCAACTTACAGTTAGTGAGTGCATACATTATTATTATTTTATTTTTTTAATTCTGGCCCCCCGTGGGAATCGAACCCACAACCCTGGCGTTGCAAACGCCATGCTCTACCAACTGAGCTACATCCCTGCCGGCCATTCCCTCCCCTACCCTGGACGACGCTGGGCCAATTGTGCGCCGCCCCATGGGTCTCCCGGTCGCGGCCGGCTACGACAGAGCCTGGATTTGAACCAGGATCTCTAGTGGCACAGCTAGCTAGTGCCTTAGACCACTGCGCCACTCGGGATATATAAAACGTGAAACAATATGGAGTTCATTCACAGGTTGATTGATAAACGTTGTATGACACATATATATAATTGGTCCTATTATTGACCCACATCCTGTTTTTAAAATGAGTTTTATTAAATGTATTATAAGAAACAAAAGTATATGGAATGCCATCATATGATTCTGTGTTATGGCCAATGCTACATTAGTATATCGAACTTTAGGAACACCTTCCTAATATTGAGTTGCACCCCTTCCCCTTTTGCCCTCAGAACAGCCTCAATTCGTCGGGGCATGGACTCTACAATGTTTCGACAGCGTTCCACAGGGATGCTGGCCCATTTTGACTCCAATGCTTCCCACAGTTGTGTCAAGTTGGCTGGATGTTCTTTAGGTGGTGGACCATTCTTGATACACACAGGAAACTGTTGAGCGTGAAAAACCCAGCAGCGTTGCAGTTCTTGACACAAACCGGTGCGCCTGACACCTACTACCATACCCCATTGAAAGGCACTTAAATATTTTGTCTTGCCCATTCCCCCTCTGAATGGCACACATACAAAATAATGGCTTACCAAGAAAAACTTCCAAAAGGACTAATTTGAAGTAAAAAGTAGTTCGCACACAAACACAATCCATGTCTCAATTGTCTCAAAGGTTAAATAAGTGCTTTTAAGCCATCTCCTCCCCTTCATCTACACTGCTTGAAGTGCATTTAACAAGTGACATCAATAAGGGATCATAGCTTTCACCTGGATTCACCTGGTCAGTCTATGTTATGGGAAGAGCAGGTTCTTAATGTTTTGTATACTCAGTGTAGCTTGTCTTATATTTCACCCCTCAGTCATGGTCTTGTCATTTCAGCCAAAATGATCATTGTCGACATGCCGTGGATCATGAATGGTAAGTTATGTAGTTATTAAAATGATTTGCTATAGAAATGTTAGTGCCCATGAAGAACCAGTATTTATGATAATCTAATCATCGTAGTTTGGACATCGTAGTTCAAATCAGAGTGTATTCATCGCATACACAAATTTGCAGATGTTATCGCAGGTGCAGCGAAATGCTGATGTTTCTAGCTCCAACAGTGCAGTAATATCTAGCAATAAAATAACCAAAAAGAAAATAACAAATTACAAGTTCTGACATGTTTTTGTTTTTTTTAGCTGCATGGAAGATTGTGAAGACATGGTTGGGTCCAGATGCCATCAGCAAGCTCAAGTTTGCATCTAAAAACGAGATCCAGACATTTATTGGCCCTGAATACCTTCCTCCTCACATGGGTGGAACGGTATGTACCCACAATATTCAACTCACTGAAGTTGGCAGTGACTCTATCTACCTGGCTACATACATTTTCATCTTACTATCACTATTTCTTACCTCAATTTTCATGAGAAAATGTGACTAACCTGTGATTAATCAATATTTATCACAATTATTTCGGATGGTTGACTTAAACCAATGATTCCCACGTAACGCCAGCGCGTTTTGGACTTCTAACCCCTTTTAAACATTGTGTGTTGGATTGGTCTATTTCTTCTGCATCCGTAGATACCAACCATTAGTCTGTGTGATTAACGGGCTGAGCTAGAGCGGTTTTTGTGAGACAAGGGCAGATCCCGAAGGGGCCGTGTCTTTAAGCTGTAGTGTCTGAATGGTTCGATCTATGAAAAGCTCAGAATCTCAGGAACACGCATATGTAACATGTTTTGCTCTATGACGCTCGCCAGCTACACAAGAGTCATTAGAAGGTAAGGGGTTCTTCTAAATAGAAGATCATAGGAAATCCCAGGACATAATGTCTATAATACTGCAATAAGCTCACATAGTTGCTGTCACAAACTCCAAACAGTGGTCACTGATGAGTTGGATATTAATTTCCCAGTGAGCAAACAATTTCTGTACTTACAGCATTCATATAAATTCCTTTTTATCAGGTTTTTGCTTCGGCAGACCTTATTTATTTAATTGACATTCATTCATGCAACTGTTTATGTCAACTTGTTTTGTGTTCTACTTGTAGCCCTGGTTGTCCTGAAAATAAAATGGTTAAACGCTTCATTGTGAGGCTAAATATAAGGGTTGGACATAAATATAAGTCAGATAAATTAAAAGCCCATTTTTGCTGGGGTCTCTGGACTGATAGTATTAAACCTATCTCTGACTTCATTCTAGGACCCCTTCAAATACAGCTATCCTCCCCTTCCTGACGATGACTTCCAAACGCCCATATGTGAGAACGGACCAATCGTCAGCGAGGATGACAACGAGAACAAGGAGGGCGAATCAGACAGCAAGGAGTTAGAATCAAGCTTCAGCTCCGATGTCGCTGTCAAGCCCAAAAAGGTACAAAACCTCCCCTTTTGTTTATTTACCAACTCCTCCCTCTGAATGTAGGTACAGTAAGGAAGACCGTAACATATAGAAACGCATGAAATATTCATGCTGTAGCTGCATTTAAACTCGTACTCCGTCTTGAATAGCCTACTACTTATCCACTTGATTTTCAGAAGTAATACATGACAGTCTGTTGTCATGTTTCTAATGTAGCCTTCCATTAAATCTGACGATGGCTACTGCTATTACTCATTAACAGTAGAGTCAATATAGTTAGTATCTGAAGTGAGCTGAGAATGATTACTGACAGTTTAACCCTGCCTTGGGCTCTCTTAGAAACAGCAGATACTTTTTCTCTTCATCATTAGCCCTAATTAACATTAAACACACCCCGTTCACACTCGGCAGTCAATTAAGACGTTAGAAGTTCAGTCAAGTTCCTCCTCACTTTGATGTGCCGTTTTCCTTCCAGATCCTTTCATTTCTCAACGTTTAGTGTGAGATTACAGCATGTAATCGGGGTCCTCTGTGGAGAGAGCTGTGAATGGTTGAGGCAGTATGCCCTGATTTGGCAGCTGTTAAGCTCCTCCTCATTGTCTCGGTCAAGGTGACTCCCCATGTCTCCAGCTGAAGCTTAATCCTTCCTGTCCACTGACTGTACCCACATAACCACACATCACAGTCCCACTCTCTGGGTCTCCTTCACAGTCTCCCTCACTCAACCCACGGCTCCTCTCATCTCCTGAGCACTTCTCTGGCTACTGAGAATGTGTCAAGCCTGACTGCCGTCACAGAAGCTCTTCCTAGCTGCGCTAGAGACTGTTTTTTCCCCCATGCGTCGTTCAGCATACCTGACTTCACAGGAGTGTTTAAAGCAGTTCCCAGAATACTTCATTTATTTTGTGTTGCCACTAATGATTTTGGCTCAACCTTTTTGGAGGCTGGGGGAATGAGAGAGAGAAACTTTGGGGTGATGTGGTTTGTCAGAGGCTGTTATTTGTGTGTGTGATGGTCTCAGCTGGTTAGATGGCAGCCCCACCGGCCTGGCCGGCCCCCGTGCAGCCTGCCACCATCACAGAGACACCCTGCAGCTCTTGGCTTTAACACCTCTTCACAGACACCATCTAGTGTTCTCTGCTGTTGTCAGGCTGCTGCACCCTAGCAACGGTCAGGGCATCATTGCCAACAATGCAGCACATATTTATTTAGCTCTCTCTCTCTGTCGGTCTGTCTCTGTTTCTCTGTCTCTCGCTCTCTCTCTCTTCATGTAGCTAGGGGTCTTCATTATTTACAAACAGTGGATATTTGGCCTCTTTTCTTTGTGTGACACACAAAACAAACACACATTGTAGTGTGGCTAATAGATCAATATCAGCCACGCTGGGTTTCGCTACGCTAGCTGTCTCTACTCTAGCTCTCTCTACGATAGCTGTCGCTGCGCTAGCTGTGTATCCTCATTCCTGGCGGAGGGCTGTGTTGTCTCTACCGTGTCAGACTCGACAGGGAGGGTGTATAATTGTGCTGTGACTGCGCTGTGTCGAAGCAGACTCCTGCTGAGCCCTTAAGCCGTCTGGGTAACCTGCACCACTGTCATAGCTCACAGGGGACTCTGTACACACACACACACACACACAAACTTGCGCTCCAGAGTGGCCCTGGCAGCTACACGTCACGAAGCTGCTCGCATGAGCCTCTTAAGCCTCTTCATGCACAACAGATTTAGATTTACAAAATTGAGATATGCAAATGAGGGGGAATAATTCACATGCAACCCCTCTCCTTGGAAAGGCCTGCTGATGGTATTGAAACATACAGGACAGACCTGGAGTCATGCTGCACCCTCTGCTGCTGCCCTGGAGTGTAGCTATGTATTGATGGTCAGGGAGGGTCAGCCTGCCTTGCGCAATCCCAGAGGGACCGGTATGGTTCAGGTTCAGCCTGAGTAGTTATTTGACATTATCAGGGAATGTCTTTTAGCTAGTAGGCCAACTAGCTATTATATTTTATAAACTGGGTGGTTCGAGCCCTGAATGTTGATTGGCTGACAGCTGTGGTATATCAGACCATATACCATGGGTATGACAAAATATTTATTTTTACTGCATTAATTACATTGGTAACAAGTTTATAATAGCAATAAGGTACCTCTGGGGTTTGTGGTATATGGCCAATATACCACAGCTAAGGGCTGCGTCCAGGCACTCTGCATTGCGTCGTATACCACACCTCCTCGGCCTTATTGCTTAAGCATAGACTTGATGATAAATCAGTTTGACAAACCAGAATCTAAGCCTCATCAAGTTTTTGTGTGGTTTTGTGTGTTGGCCTATGTGCAATTTAGTGGATGAATGTATGTGAATGGGTCCATCAATACACTTGAGCAATGTTCCCTCTAACTTTTTTTCAGCACTGAGCAAATTTCAGGTCTGCTGAGCGCAAACTTGAACGTTGTGAAAATTCTGTGCAACTTCCAGCGCGTGTTTACTGTGAACACTGAGGCTGTACCCGCTTTAAGTTCGTTTTAAGTGGCCAAGTAGGCTACTTTGGCTATTTGATCATAATGTAGGCCTACCATCAAAAACAATGGAGAAAAATGCGTCCCACAAAATGTTTCCATGGAATTAGCAGTTATATCATTAAACCTACAGTAGCAGCCAATGTGTGGTGTTCAACGTAGGCCTATATTCCATGAGACTTTGGGAAAAAAACATGCAGATCTTGACATTAACCCGTTAATCCACATGTCCTTCAGACAAGGATGGGCTAGTAACTCACTAACTAGCAAAGAATATGAACAAATGTGCACACGTGGCTACATGCAGCTCTCACTTTGATTTTTTAAAAAGTGCATTACTGAAGATCGCTCATACCGTAGCTGATTTGTTATGGCACACCGGTCTGTGTAGAGTACGGGCCTTATCCGTGCCTGTCAATGCAATGGAATCCTACTCCAATGCGCTCTGCCTACAAGAAATTCTCTTGCATAGTTCATTTTGTTTCGGTATATTACATTGATTTGAAAGTGGCTAATATTGCGTTGACTCGATCACATTTCCCACAGTAGAGCAAAACATTGATAGTGTTGACTAAAGGGGAAAACTCAAGAAAGGTGAGTGAAGTTCAATCTCGTGCTTCTCTGTGCGGGTGAATATTTATTCTGCGTGGCAGTCTGAGGGGAGCTGCACGCCGGCGCACGCGTGCAGCCTAGAGGGAACATTGCATGTGAGCACAATGTGGTCTTTGGTGGCTCTGATTTAACCAGTCCCTAATGATCTACCTAGGCTATAGGCTAATCTCTTGGCTTGCTGGCTTTAAAGGGATACTTTGGGATTCTGACAATGAGGCCCTTTATCTACCTCCCCAGAATCAGATGAACGTGTGAATACCATTTTTATGTCTCTGTCCAGTATGAAAGAAGTTAAAGTAGTTTCTCAAGTTAGCATTGGCTCACGAAACTACCTCCAACTTCCTTCATACTGGACACCGAGACATAAAAATGTTAACCACAAGTTCATCTGATTCTGGGGAGGTAGATAAAGGGCCTCATTGCCAAAATCCCCTAGTTTCCCTTTAAGGTTAGGGTTCTAACACCAATCATGATACCCATTGTTTACAGCTTGTCTGTTTGCACACATTCAATCATTATCATGTTCTGCTGCTCCTCTCTCTACATTAACATTGTCCTCCCTCCTGAATCAATACATACAATCTCTGAAGCTGGAGACACTTATCTCCCTCACTAACTTTAAGCATCAGTTGTCAGAGCACCTTACCGATCACTGCACCTGTACACAGCCCATCTGAAATTAGCCCGCCCAACTACCTCATCCCTATATTGTTATTTATTTTGCTCATTTGTACCCCAGTATCTCTATTTGCACATCATCTCTTGCACATCTATCATTCCAGTGTTAATACTAATTGTAATTATTTTGCACTATAGCCTATTTTATTGCCTTACCTCCATAACTCGCTAAATTTGCACACACTGTATATATATGTATTTCTGTTGTATTTTTTTTGACTTTGTTTTGTTTTACCCCATATGTAACTCTGTGTTGTTGTTTTTATCGCACTGCTTTGCTTTATCTTGGCCAGGTCGCAGTTGTAAATGAGAACTTGTTCTCAACTGGTTTACCTGGTTAAATAAAGGTGGAAAAAAAAAAAATGTGGCTCTCAACAGTGTGTTGATACAGTAGCTTCCCAGAGCGGTCAGCTAATTGCCTTTCTCTCTGTTTTGACCCAAGGGCTGGTTTTGGTAAGCCATTGTATGATCTCAGCCACACCAGCAGCACTGATTCCTGGAGAGTTCTGCATTCTGAAAGGGCAGTCTGAGGGTTTTACTCATGTACCAGCCCCGCCATCTAATCACCATCATGGACATGTTCAGCCTTTGATTGAATCCAAAATGGACCTTGAACAAACATTTCAAATATGACCCCCACAATGTGTTGCACTTATCAGAATGTGATGATTTTGAAGAGATTTGTAGCCAATGAAGTAGGCTATCAGATACATAACTCACAATACTCTATCATAAAAGAGGAAAAGTTTGCCACCTTGATTCCCGTTCCAGTGACCAGCATAATAACATGGTGATATTTTATCCAACTTAAGTATTTTACCTTACTTAATATAACATTAGGGAAATAATGTTTTTGTAGAGAAAGGAAAGCATGTGTGCCAAGTGTATACATGCCTAAATGTATTGTACTGAACTTTTAACCCAAAAGCATATTTTATTCTATCATTACTGTTGTATTCATTTCAAATGACCCTATCTACTGTACTGTAACGATGAATGTACTAATGTTTATAATACTAGGACAAGAGTATTCTACTACCACCAGCATGAAATCCTTTGTTATTTTTACCGCACTCAATGTTAGCACATTTGCACTGACACTGAAGTGATACAATGGATGCTCAACTACCTTATGCCATATTATAACTGTAATTGTAGGCGCTTCCTCTGTGTATGGATGCCTTTTCACACAACGAGAGAGTAATCTGTATTGTGCCTTATTGTCAATAACCTCTCCAGATGATCAGACTGTCAATCCATGGTCTGCTTGGGGAAGCTGCCTACAAATTATATTATCAAAACAAGTATTTCATACGGTCTACATTTCTTAGACATTTCTGGATCTATGGATTTCAAATTGTATCTGCTGCCTACATCAGCCTTATACACTCCAGCTTGTGTCTTTTTTTGTTGTGGTGATTTTCTAATTTTAGCCAGTAGGATTGGACTGTTGTGTGTTGATATTACATATTAAGACCTTCCAATAATGTTAGTTCATGCATGGTTTGTAGTTCTAGTGCCAAAGATTAAGCTCAATATTATCTCACTACTGAGTATTTTGATCCTGGTATTGACTAACCAGAATGATAAACAGGAAATGGGTTTTTTTACTCATGTTTGATTAACAATTAATTTTGTTATGAGTTGAACTTTTATGCAGTTATTTTATACAATGTATTTAATCAATGGAAATGCTGTATTTTTTTTATTTAATCAACCAAGCAGTCAATTCAAGTCAATTATGGTCATGTATCTTTCAACAGCAGCTAATTAATCCCCATATCTTACTCAGTTCTGTATTGCACTTGATTTGAACACTAAATAAAAATAAACATTTCAGAAGCAGCTCAAAGTCTCTTGATGTCTTTGTGTCATCTGTGTGTGGTGTGTGTCGCAGCAGCCTGCTGAAGGGGGAGGCACGTGTGTGTGTTGCTTATCACAGCAGAAGACACACTCTCCATCTGACTCATTAGGGCTTGTACGTGCATCACAGGCAGACCCTAGTCACCTCTCTTCCAGTTCTCCCATCTTCTCACATCCTCTCCTGCTGTGCTCCCCATCTCCCATCTGCCTCACACAAGCTGTGGGACTGGCCTTGGTCAATATGCTATGGAAACCAAATGATGCTTGTCCCACCACAACTTCATCTGTCCTTTCCCAACTTTCTGCTAACATTGCACAAACCATGTGTTTATCAGCTGTTCTGTGGTCTTGTGACCTCATTGTGTGAGTGGGTGTATGATGGAGTCTGTTGGATTTGGGCGAAAGTTTACAGTTGAAGTGAAAGAGCTGACTGGCCATTGTCATGGGGTTATGTGTTCTCTCCATGGGAACTCTCTGTGAGTTCTCACAGGACATGTCTGTAGTGTTCATGTTGCCTCACTGTACTGTGAACAAGGGTCAGGGGTTGTTATGGGGATAGATGTATTGATTGTGAAATGAAGTGACCTGTCATACAAAAACTCACTATTTCTAACATATTTTCTATCCCATCATTTGAAATGGACTATAGTTAGGCATTTAATAGTATTATTTAGAAATTAATAAAGATAACTTAGGATAATTTGTATCTTTAGAACACCTCTCCAAACAAAGCACCTTAGAATAATTTGATCAGTGTGTTGATGAACATTGTCTCACGAAGCCACTGTTGTCCTTGTTTCAGGTGTATTTCTCAGAGGAGAGCCTGAGCACTCTGAAGCTGGACGACAACGACAAAGGAGACAGCCGGTCGAAGGGAGCCAGGAAGCCACTGACCACATTCAAGGCCCCTCTGCTACACGTTAGGTATTCAACCCAACCTTCTCAGAACTCCCTCTCTTAGTATCCCTCTCTTAGTCCTCTTCCTGAATATCAAATCAACCCCTAGCCCCTACTCGCAAGGCACTCCTGTATCTCTGAAAGGATCAAAGAGGTGTAAGAAATATGGTAGTTCTTTCACCTTGCCTTCTGGGTGGAATTTTCAACCAATTGTTTATCCAGTAGTTGCAGATGTACAAGAGTTTCTAGGAAGTCGGAAGAGACTAGGGTTTGATTTGGAATTCAGCATATCTCTCAGCTGCACTCAAGGCTTAAAGAATAGCCGGACTGGTAGCACAGTGACTAGGCTATAGCCAATCCATGTCCACATGCTGGATTTGAAGGGGTTGTAGAGCTTAGGGTGAATGTGTTGTTGACACGCAAGCCCAGCGCCAGATATCGATACGTTTGTATCTGGATGGATCGATTGATCTTGTATTATCTAAACAGAAATAAAGGATGCCTGAGATCAATTGTGCATTGACTGGAAGTCAGTTACTGCAGTTAATTACTGTGCAGTAATAATCAATGGAATTAATTGATCACACAGATGATTACTGCCCATATTGACCAAGGAACAGCCAGTAGTCCCATCATGCAAATTGGATGTCCTAATGAATGTTGCAGTAGGGATCAAGGGACACTTTTGTGCAAAACATAGTTCAAGGTCATTCTGTTACCTAATTGTAGTCTTTAGTGATGAAGCTGATACAGTGGGGAAAAAAGTATTTAGTCAGCCACCAATTGTGCAAGTTCTCCCACTTAAAAAGATGAGAGGCCTGTAATTTTTGTCATAAGTACACGTCAACTATGACAGACAAAATGAGAAAAAAAAATCCAGAAAATCACATTGTAGGATTTTTTATGAATTTATTTGCAAATTATGGTGGAAAATAAGTATTTGGTCAATAACAAAAGTTTCTCAATACTTTGTTATATACCCTTTGTTGGCAATGACACAGGTCAAACGTTTTCTGTAAGTCTTCAAGGTTTTCACACACTGTTGCTGGTACAGTGGAGAGAACAAGTATTTGATACACTGCCGATTTTGCAGGTTTTCCTACTTACAAAGCATGTAGAGGTCTGTAATTTTTATCATAGGTACACTTCAACTGTGAGAGACGGAATCTAAAACAAAAATCCAGAAAATCACATTGTATGATTTTTAAGTAATTAATTTGCATTTTATTGCATGACATAAGTATTTGATACATCAGAAAAGCAGAACTTAATATTTGGTACAGAAACCTTTGTTTGCAATTACAAAGATCATACGTTTCCTGTAGGTCTTGACCAGGTTTGCACACACTGCAGCAGGGATTTTGGCCCACTCCTCCATACAGACCTTCTCCAGATCTTTCAGGTTTCGGGGCTGTCGCTGGGCAATACGGACTTTCAGCTCCCTCCAAAGATGTTCTATTGGGTTCAGGTCTGGAGACTGGCTAGGCCACTCCAGGACCTTGAGATGCTTCTTACGGAGCCACTCCTTAGTTGCCCTGGCTGTGTGTTTCGGGTCGTTGTCATGCTGGAAGACCCAGCCACGACCCCATCTTCAATGCTCTTACTGAGGGAAGGAGGTTGTTGGCCAAGATCTCGCGATACATGGCCCCATCCATCCTCCCCTCAATACGGTGCAGTCGTCCTGTCCCCTTTGCAGAAAAGCATCCCCAAAGAATGATGTTTCCACCTCCATGCTTCACGGTTGAGATGGTGTTCTTGGGGTTGTACTCATCCTTCTTCTTCCTCCAAACACTGCGAGTGGAGTTTAGACCAAAAAGCTCTATTTTTGTCTCATCAGACCACATGACCTTCTCCCATTCCTCCTCTGGATCATCCAGATGGTCATTGGCAAACTTCAGACGCGCCTGGACATGCGCTGGCTTGAGCAGGGGGACCTTGCGTGCGCTGCAGGATTTTAATCCATGACAGCGTAGTGTGTTACTAGTGGTTTTCTTTGAGACTGTGGTCCCAGCTCTCTTCAGGTCATTGACCAGGTCCTGCCGTGTAGTTCTGGGCTGATCCCTCACCTTCCTCATGATCATTGATGCCCCACGAGGTGAGATCTTGCATGGAGCCCCAGACCAAGGGTGATTGACCGTCATCTTGAACTTCTTCCATTTTCTAATAATTGCGCCAACAGTTGTTGCCTTCTCACCAAGCTGATTGCCTATTGTCCTGTAGCCCATCCCAGCCTTGTGCAGGTCTACAATTCTATCCCTGATGTCCTTACACAGCTCTCTGGTCTTGGCCTTTGTGGAGAGGTTGGTGTCTGTTTGATTGAGTGTGTGGACAGGTGTCTTTTATACAGGTAACGAGTTCAAACAGGTGCAATTAATACAGGTAATGAGTGGAGAACAGGAGGGCTTCTTAAAGAAAAACTAACAGGTCTGTGAGAGCCGGAATTCTTACTGGTTGGTAGGTGATCAAATACTTAAGTCATGCAATAAAATGCAAATTAATTACTTAAAAATCATACAATGTAATTTTCTGGATTTTTGTTTTAGATTCCGTCTCTCACAGTTGAAGTGTACCTATGATAACAATTACAGACCTCTACATGCTTTGTAAGTAGTAAAACCTGCAAAATCGGCAGTGTATCAAATACTTGTTCTCCCCACTGTATTTTGGCCCATTCCTCCATGCAGATCTCCTCTAGAGCAGTGATGTTTTGGGGCTGTCGCTGGGCAACACGGACTTTCAACTCCCTCCAAAGATTTTCTATGGGGTTGAGATCTGGAGACTGGCTAGGCCACTCCAGGACCTTGAAATGCTTCTTACTAAGCCACTCCTTCGTTGCCCGGGCGGTGTGTTTGGGATCATTGTCATGCTGAAAGACCCAGCCACGTTTCATCTTCAATGCCCTTGCTGATGGAAGGAGGTTTTCACTCAAAATCTCACGATACATGGCCCCATTCATTCTTTCCTTTACACGGATCAGTCGTCCTGGTCCCTTTGCAGAAAAACAGCCCCAAAGCATGATGTTTCCACCCCCATGCTTCACAGTAGGTATGGTGTTCTTTGGATGCAACTCAGCATTCTTTGTCCTCCAAACACGACGAGTTGAGTTTTTACCAAAAAGTTCTATTTTGGTTTCATCTGACCACATGACATTCTCCCAATCCTCTTCTTGATCATCCAAATGCACTCTAGCAAACTTCAGACGGGCCTGGACATGTACTGGCTTAAGCAGGGGGACACGTCTGGCACTGCAGGATTTGAGTCCCTGGCGGCATAGTGTGTTACTGATGGTAGGCTTTGTTACTTTGGTCCCAGCTCTCTGCAGGTCATTCACTAGGTCCCCCCGTGTGGTTCTGGGATTTTTGCTCACCGTTCTTGTAATCATTTTGACCCCACGGGGTGAGATCTTGCGTGGAGCCCCAGATCGAGGGAGATTATCAGTGGTCTTGTATGTCTTCCATTTCCTAATAATTGCTCCCACAGTTGATTTCTTCAAACCAAGCTGCTTACCTATTGCAGATTCAGTCTTCCCAGCCTGGTGCAGGTCTACAATTTTGTTTCTGGTGTCCTTTGACAGCTCTTTGGTCTTGGCCATAGTGGAGTTTGGAGTGTGACTGTTTGAGGTTGTGGACAGGTGTCTTTTATACTGATAACAAGTTCAAACAGGTGCCATTAATACAGGTAACGAGTGGAGGACAGAGGAGCCTCTTAAAGAAGAAGTTACAGGTCTGTGAGAGCCAGAAATCTTGCTTGTTTGTAGGTGACCAAATACTTATTTTCCACCATAATTTGCAAATAAATTAATAAAAAATCCTACAATGTGATTTTCTGGATTTTTTTTTTCTCAATTTGTCTGTCATAGTTGACGTGTACCTATGATGAAAATTACAGGCCTCATCTTTTTAAGTGGGAGAACTTGCACAATTGGTGGCTGACTAAATACTTTTTCCCCCCACTGTATATATATATATTGTATATTCTTATAAACACAAGAACATTCATCACTGAACCGTACCATTCAAGGCCGGGGCGATGGTTGTGGTCTTTTGTTTGGCTGGCTTAGCCGTAACCAGAGGGAAAGGCTTCAAGATGGATGCCATGTCTCCCTGCTTCAGGTCTATGGGCATATCTGAGGACAGAGGGGAGAGAACACAGCTCAGTCATGTAAGCTACAGATACAGTTGTGATCATCTGCTACGGCCTCACCCAGCCAGGTGTATCTCTGTTGGTTTTCCTGCTGAGGGAAAATATATTAAATATGTGCGTTGCATAATTGTGTTGTTCATAAAAAATCCTACAATGTGATTTTGTGGAGAAAAAAAATCTCAATTTGTCTGTCATAGTTGATGTGTACCTATGATGAAAATTACAGGCCTCTCTCATCTTTTTAAGTGGGAGAACTTGCACAATTGGTGGCTGACTAAATACTTTTTTTCCCCACTGTATATCCCTTTACCCTGAGGTTGATTATAGACCGGCATTCTTCAGGCTTCTATTTACATTTTAAGAACGTTCTCATTACTAATCATTTAAAAAAATATATATTGATCTAAAGCGTGTTGTGTGGGGTGCCATTAGGTTCAGATTGTTTTCAGGTACAGTACTTGAGAGCTGCCTCCATAGATGGGTATTCCGATGTTAAATTAAATCAATCCTATGTTCCTGAGTCATTTCCGTCCAGTTCAGTTTTTTGGAGAGCCGACTCTTTGATGTGAGATTTGTCACAGCTACGGGCTACGTATTAGAGTGATAAAAAGATTTATATGAGCCTTAAATGCAATTATGTCTCTGAGCTGTGTTAGCCCTGATTCCAGTGAGTCCACGAGGAAGGCAGAACTAGAGCTGGAGGGGCGGAAGAGGGGAGGCTTTGATCTGCACAATGTGTTTGTCAAAAGGTTTCCTGCAGTCTAGAGAATCATTCCGGGCTCAGGGGAGTAATGGGCTCCTCACAACACTTTACTGGGGCAATGAACAAACACAGGAGGATGTGGAAGGGAAGGAAGTTGGAACAATCCGTTGTTTAGAGGAGATGAAGCCTAAGGAATGTACAGCGAGACTTAGTATACACTATACAGGAATTTTTATCCTGTTGGCCATTTCACTGAGTTTTCAGTAGGTACTGTAGCAGGCCAGCAGCAGTCCACAGCACAGTGTGGAGAAGTGTTCACTGAGGCTGAATTATCAAATTACAGAATTATCCCTTAAACCTGAGCCTGTTGAGGCGAGGGGGTGGGGGGGGGCTATTAGGGGCAGGAAGGGGGATTGGGTGCGCTGAGTGTTGGAAAGCGAATTAGAGCGCCTCGTGGCTACTTTCTCAGGCCATGGATTTTTCCTCTGCTGCTCCAGATTTCACAGCTTTGATGCCAGATCACAGATGTTTTCACCCTAGACCTGGGTAATAATGTGGTTTAATTCTCCATGTTCCCAATGGGTTCAGCTACGGCTGATAGGCTTGAGCCAGCCTAGTACCCAGGGGCCTGACAGACAGCTCCATATGGGTTAGGTGGAGACACAGCACATCGGAGACTGAGGGTTTGGCTCAGGAAACATACAGTCAGTCAGGGGCTATTTCTTTGCAATGAATTTTTTATTTATTTTTTTAGAACATGTTGACGTCAATTGAGTCGGATAAATGGCAAATACACACACACTGATTTCAGCATCAATGTAGTGTACAAGGCTTTTTGTTTATTTAAAGGAGAGAAAAAAAACATGCAAGCACAGATGGACATAATCTGCCATGTGTTAGCTAGAATACTGAGCTAGATGGTGATACAGCAGCTGTTTAGTAAATGTGTAACAATGGAAGCTAACAGAATCTACAAGTCCCTGGGTAATCATACTGCAATCACTCTCAGGAAGCAACATCTAAGCTCACAAAGCTTTGCCAAACAGATCGATAAAGCTAAGATATCACGAAGAGAACAACAAAGCACGCTGTAAAGCAAGACTTCTAACAGATGTATTGGGTTGGTTTGAACACCAGATAGCCATTGTGGCCGATGCCTTTGTAAAGAAAAATACATTTGTTTATTACGTTAGTCACAAATTCAATCGTAGCCGGTCGCCTTGTCATCATGTAGCCTGTGCTGTTTCTCTTCTGAAATGGAACGTATTTTCTCCCTTTTTTCCAGTCCAGCAGAGGAGCTGAGCTTTGGCTCCAAAGAGTCAGACAGGAAGTGTCTTATCATCCTCGATAATGTGTCCAAGAATCAAGTGGCCTTCAAGGTACGTCCATGCCCCTGTGTGTGCAAGCGTGCCCCTCTCTCTCTGTGTGTGTGTGTGTGTGTGTGTGTGTGTGTGTGTGTGTGTGAAGCTGACTTGATGGTGTCTCCCTCCACAGGTACGAACCACAGCACCTGAGAAGTACAGAGTGAAGCCCAGCAACAGCAGCTGTGAACCGGGCGCTTCTGTGGATATAGTGGTGTCCTTACATGGAGGTAGAGTACTGCACTTCTCTCTCCCACTCTCTCTCTCCACCCACTCCTCTTATCTACTTTTTCCTTCGGATGTTTCCAGATACACCAGAAGAAACTTCAGAATAATCAAAAGGTCCAGTCTGAGTCTAATATCTTTGGAAAGTGCTGACAGAGTGCAGCTTTCTTTTGCCCGACATACATATTTTAAGAGTGATAAAATAATAATCTCTTATCTTCCCCTAAGCCGAGCCTTTCAGAAATCTAACGGCGGGTAAATAAAGAAACTTTATTGAGCCAGTCTCAGTACTCTGTGGAAGGCTGAAACCCCTAAGGTCAATGTTTTCCTCTTGATCACTTGAGACCAACATTGAGTAGGGTTGCAGGGACTTGGCTGATAAGACGTTCAGAGGCCTTCAAGCATGGAAATGTCAGTCATGGCTTCTGATGTGCAAGATATGGGTTTTTTGAAGAATATAATTCTGGCACTATTCCAAAGTTTGAGGGTTTTCTCTCTGGGTTTAACTTTAAAACTTGTTAATTCAATTTTCGGGAGCCACCATCTATCGCCCATGTCTTGTTCATTTGTTCGAGTCTAGTGGATAAGAACCCTTACTTTTTCTGTTCACAGCTGTGTCAGAGTCAGCTCTTTCAGTTCTATCTTCTGATTATTTGATGCTGACAGCAGTGGGGTTTAAACTGTATCCTTTGTACAGATGATCCCATCCAAATGTAGGAATCTAGATACATAAACTGAACAATATACAGCGATAAAAAATTATTCAGAGTTCAATGTGTGCCATGGATGTGTTTGTGCAGGCTACCAGGCGTCTCTGCAGGACCGCTTCCTGGTTATGGCTGCAGAGATGGAGCAGAACGTTGGTGCTGGATCACCAGAGCTCGCTCAGTTCTGGAAGGACGTGCCCAAAACCAAGATGATGGAGCACAGGTACATCATCATCAATGCCTCATCATAGATGGGAATATACGCTGAGTGTACAAAACATTAAGAACACCTGCTCTTTCCATGACATAGACTGACCAGATGAATCGAGGTGAAAGCTATGATCCCTTATTGATGTCACTTGTTAAATACACTTCAATCAGTGTAGATGAAGGCGAGGAGACAGGTTAAAGAAGGATTTTTAAGCCTTGAGACAATCGAGACATGGATTGTGTATGTGTGCCATTCAGAGGGTGAATGGGCAAGACAAAAGATTGAAGTGCCTTTGAACAGGATATGATAGTAGGTACCAGGCGCACCGGTTTGTGTCAAAAACTGCAACGCTGCTGGGGTTTTCACGCTCAACAGTTTCCCGTCTGTATCAAGAATTGTCCATCACCTAAAGGACATCCAGCCAACTTGACACAACTGTGGGAAGCATTGGAGTCAACATGTACAGTCCATTCTCCGACTAATTTAGGCTGTTCTGAGGGCAAAAGGGGGTGGTGCAACTCAATATTAGGAAGGTGTTCCTAATGTTTGGTATACTGAGTGTATGTAAATGAGTAAAGCAATTCCTGTTCAGCCAAAGGGCAAGCAGTCGTTAATATGCCACCATCAACATCTATAATGACCTCAAGAGAACTTTAATTCACTAAACCCATCGTGGTCTTGCAGTGTACAGCACAGATTGCCTCAGCATGGCTGGGGTATGTCAATGACCTAGCAGGCTGATAATCCCCTCTCCTCAGTCTTCCCTGATGTGACCAATTACGTATATAAACCCTGGATTGCTGATGCTATGTATTGGCCATTGAGAGGCTTTGAAGCCAGCGGTCAACGATATGGGCACTCCCTAGTAGGAGCAGTCTTCCATAGGAATTAATGGTTCAATTAAAAGGATAAAATTACATGTATTTAGAGCTGCAATGTGTAACTTTTTGGTCGACCCGACCAAATTCACATATAAATAGCTCTGTCATTCTCATTGAAAGGAAGTCTAAGAAGTGGTAGATCTGTTCTATGCGAGCTATTTCTATGTTTCACGTTCTTAAGTTTCGTTTTTGTGTCTTTTACTTTCGGTTTTGTACACCAGCTTCAAACAGCTGAAAATACAATATTTTTGATTATGGAAATATATTTCACAGCAGTTTAGATGGTACAGTGATTCTCTACACTATGCTTGCTTGTTTTGTCACGTAAACTGAAATTAAGTGAACTATTAGAATTTTAGCAACCAGGAAATGGCGGAGCGATTTCTGCATAGTGCATCTTTAAGTATTTTGTTGTTGTAGTCGGGACAGTAACATTAGTACTCTAAAAAAAACACTTGAAGGAACATGTTTTTATATATTTTTTTATTTTAATGTTTAACTCACATAATATAATAAAAAATTATGCATTAAAGCAAGGGTGTCAAACTCATTTCACGGAGGGCCGAGTGTCTGCGTGCTTTTGTTTTTCCTTTCAATTAACACCTAGACAACCATGTGAGGGTAGTTCCATACTAATTAGTGAGTGACCTTAATTCATCAATGGGTAGTACAAGGGTGGAACGAATACCCGCAGACACTCGGCCCTCTGTGGAATGAGTTTGACTCGCGCATTAAGATGTCTGTAATAGAATAAACATGTCAAAAACGAATGTAGACATTAATAAATGCATTTCTATAGTGTCCAAAATATTTTTTTTACATTTGAGGAGTACCACCAAGATGGCTGCGCAGTGGCTTCAATACAGCGCCCCCTGTCAGTCATCTAGGATTTATACACATTATTGGACGTGACTGTATCCTGTCCTTCCTGTAGATTACAATGTCACGTCCTGGAGAGCACTAAGCCCATTCTGACCTGTGGCAGTGACAGCCCCATTGAAGGAGGAGCCAATGGCCACCCGGACCTGCACACAACGGTGAGCTCTCCACTCCTCTTGGATGATGCTCCTCCACCCACTAGAATACATGAACCTATATATTAACCTATGTACAGTATTTACTGTATTTTAACTTTGATTGACTTTGTTTATCTTCTTTTTTTTCCTCTTTTTTTTGTACACTATTACAACCATTATACATTTTAGTGGTGTCAAATTGATATGGGAGACTGAAAAGTGAATACATTAGTAAGATGAAGTAACCCAATGCTCTCCTCTGCAGCTGATGCGTGTGATGGTGTGTAACGTCCGGCTGGAGCAGAAGCTGGACCAGTATCTGTGGTTCCAGCAGGTTCTGATTGGTCTGGTGCTAGTCGTCATGATGTTCAGCTTCCTGTGTCTCTACAACCTTCCTGGGACTTCCTGACCTGACAACATGGTCTACCTCCTCCTCCCATCGAACATAGAGACTACAGCAGCTTAAAGCTTAACCAACAGGAAGTGGGCTGGTATTGGACTCAGTGATAAAATGAGCGCAGACTCTCCTCTCGACAAGGGCTGTCGTCATGAAGATGGAGGGATGTTCTGTTCCGTAGCAGTGAACTTGTGGAGTTGCCAGTCAGTTGCCCATAGAGATTCCTCATAGTTTCCTAGGTGTTGTGAGAGGTTCTGTTGCTAAAGACTCTAGACACTGTGAAATTAAATCAATAATGTATTTTTATTACTGAAAATGGAATTATACAGTGCCTTCAGAAAGTATTCATACTACATTACACATTTTGTTGTGTTACAGCCTGAATTCAAAATTGATTAAAAATATATATTTCTCACCCATCTACACACAATACCCCATAATTACAAAGTGAAAACATGTTTTTAGAATTTTTTGCACATTTATTGAAAATTAAATACAAAAATATATCATTTACATAAGTTTTCACACCTCTCAGTCAATACTTTGTAGATGCACCTTTGGCAGCTATTACAGCTGTGAGCCTTTCTGGGTAAATCTCTTACAAGCTTTCCATACCTGGATTGTGCAACATTTGCCCAGTATTCTTTTAAATATTCTTTAAGCAATGTCAAATTGGTTGTTCATCATTGCTAGACAACCATTTTCAGTTCTTGCCATAGATTTTCTAGTAGATTTAAGTCAAAACTGGAACTCGGCCACTCAGGAACATTCACTGTCTTCTTGGTAAGCAACTCCAGTGTAGATTTGGCTTTGTGTTTTAGGTTATTGACCTGCTGAAAGGTGAATTCATCTCCCAGTGTCTGGTGGAAACAAGACTGAACCAAGTTTTCCACTAGGATTTTGCCTGTGGTTAGCGCCATTGCGTTAATTTTTTATCCTGAAAAACTCCCCGGCCCTAACGATTACAAGCGTACCCATAACATGATGCAGTCACCATTATGCTAGAAAATATGGAGAGTGGTACTCAGTAATGTGTTGTATTGGATTTGCCCCAAACATAACACTTTGTATTCAGGACAAAAAGTTAATTGCTTTGCCACATTCTTTTCAGTATTTCTTTAGTGCCTTGTTGCAAACAGGATGCATGTTTTGGAATATTTTTGTTCTGTACAGGCTTCCTTCTTTTCACTCAGTCAATTAGGTTAGTATTGTGAAGTAACTACAATGTTGTTGAATCATCCTCAGTTTTCTCCTATCACAGCCATTAAACTCTGTAACTGTTTTAAAGTCACCGTTGGCCTCATGGTGAAATCCCTGAGCGGTTTCCTTCCCCTCCGGCAACTGAGTTAGGAAGGACGCCTGTATCTTTTGTAGTGACTGGGTGTATTGATACACCATCCAAAGTGCAATTAATAACTTCACCATGCTCAAAGGGATATTAAATGTCAGCTTTTTCTATTTTAGGTGCCTTTCTTTGGAAAACCTTCTTGGTCTTTGTGTATCTGTGTTTGAAATTCACTGCTCGACTGATGGACCTTACAATTATCTGTATGTGTGGGGTACAGAGAAGAGGTCGTCATTCAAAAAGAATGTTAAACACTATTATTGCACACATAGTGAGTACATGCAACTTATTATGTGACTTTTTAAGCACATTTGTACTCCATAACTTATTTAGACTTGCCATAACAAAGTGGTTGAATACTTGATTCAAACAATTCATCTTTACATGTTTTATTAATTTGTAAACATTTTGAAAAACATAATTCCACTTTGTCATCATGGGGTATTTTGTGTAGGCCAGAGACAAAAAAAAACTACATTTTATGAATTTTAAATTCATTCTGTAATACAACAAAATGAGGAAAAAGTCATAGTGAATACTTTCTGAAGGCATTGTATATGAGGTCTATTTATTTCAAAATGTAACATGACGTAGAAGATTTAGTTGTTCATTTTTCTGATCCTAATGTACATTTCATTTTAAATATATGAACATATCCTGTTTAAGAATAAACTTTAACAAATCGTTTTTGAGCATTTTAGCATTTTCCTTTTGTTGAACATGACTGTTGTTGTGATGGGTTGTATCTGAAAATGGCTTATAAAAATAGGGTTCTTTCTTAATGTGTACAGTGCAATGGTAGAATATTATGGGGGACACATGTAGAGTTGTACTAAATAGCTTTGAAAGGCAGTGTGTGCTGGCATGAACAAGGCACCACCAACATGAGCACAGCTCTATCCTGATACAGTAGATAACCAGCTCACTCCTGAAGCAGGCCTGAAACCTCTTTCTCTCTTGACCCTTATTTTACATCAACAGTCTCACTGTGTCCGTGATGCAGCCTCACCCTCCTCCCTTCCTCCCTCTTTGATAAAAGGGGTGCCAAATTGAAAACAGAGTGTGACCTCTCCCCACTTACCCCTGGAGAGCCCAGGGAGATCTCTGTGCTATCTCCCTCTATTTGTTTTAATTACCCTACGCTGGCAACCTAAAAATACCAAGCAATTACTGTTGAGGATGAGGAGATGGCAGAACCCACTCACGGGGCTCAGTGGGAAGGCTGGGTATCTATATCAAGATCCAGCGCAGAGCAATCAACCACAGAGCCAAGGCACAGGGGGATCACACTTAGAATATTAAATACATGCACCACTTATAATAACACGGCGACTTACACCAAGGCTAGTTTGTTCTGACAGCTCTGCAGGGTCTGCTGTTGGTGTCTGATTTGCCTTTTGTCCCCTCAAAACGATGTGCTGTCTGGTGGTTATATGTCTGATCAGTCATTGAAGTCAAATCAAATCCAATTTTATTTGTCACATGCGCCGAATACAACAGGTGTAGACCTTACCGTGAAATGCTTACTTACATGCCCTTCACCAACAATGCAGTTTTAAGAAGAAAAAAATATTTACTAAATAAACTAAAGTAAAAAAAATGTTTCAAAATAATAATAAGGCTATATACAGGGGGTACCGGTACAGAGTCAATGTGCGGGGATCAATCAATCAATCAAATGTATTTATAAAGCCCTTTTTACATCAGCAGATGTCACAAAGTGCTATACAGAAACCCAGCCTAAAACCCCAAACAGCAAACAATGCAGATGTAGAAGCACGGTGGCTTGGAAAAACTCCCTAGAAAGGCAGGAACCTAGGAAGAAACCTAAAGAGGAACCAGGCTCTGAGGGGTGGCCAGTCCTCTTCTGGCTGTGCCGGGTGGAGATTATAAGAGTACATGGCCATTTAAGGCCAGGATTTTCATAAATCAAATCAAATCAAATCAAATTGTATTGGCCACATGCGCCGAATACAACAGGTGCAGACATTACAGTGAAATGCTTACTTACAGCCCTTAACCAACAGTGCATTTCTTTTTAATAAAAAAGTAGAATAAAACAACAAAAAAGTGTTGAGAAAAAAAGAGCAGAAGTAAAATAAAATAACAGTAGGGAGGCTATATATACAGGGAGGTACCGGTGCAGAGTCAATGTGCGGGGGCACCGGCTAGTTGAGGTAGTTGAAGTAATATGTACATGTGGGTAGAGTTAAAGTGACTATGCATAAATAATTAACAGAGTAGCAGCAGCGTAAAAAGATGGGGTGGGGGGGCAGTGCAAATAGTCCGGGGTCAAATAATAATCAGTTATTTTAGAGGGTGCAACAGGTCAGTACCTCAGGAGTAAATGTCAGTTGACTTTTCATAGCCGAGCATTCAGAGGTCAAGACAGCAGGTGTGGTAGAGAGAGAGAGTCGAAAACAGCAGGTCCGGGATAAGGTAGCACGTCCGGTGAACAGGTCAGGGTTCCCTAGCTGTAGGCAGAACAGTTGAAACTGGAGCAGCAGCGCGACCAGGTGGACTGGGGACAGCCAAGAGTCATCAGGCCAGGTAGTCCTGAGGCATGATCCTAGGGCTCAGGTCCTCCGGGATGGGAGGGAGAGAGGGAGAGAGAGAGAATTAGAGGGAGCATACTTTAATTCACACAGGACACCAGATAAGACAGGAGAATTACACCAGATATAACAGACTGACCCTAGCCCCCCGGCACATAGACTATTGCAGCATAGATACTGGAGACTGAGACGGGTGGGTCGGGGCACACTGTGGCCCCGTCTGACGATACCCCCGGACAGGGCCAACCAGGCAGGATATAACCCCTACCACTTTGCCAAAGCATAGCAGACCACCAACATACTACCCTGAAACAAGGCTGAGTATAGCCCACGAAGATCTCCTCCACCGCACGAGCCCGAGGGGGCGCAAAACTGGACAGGAAGATCACGTCTGTGACTCAACCCACTCAAGTGACGCACCCCTCCTAGGGACGGCATGGAAGAGCGCTAGTAAGCCAGTGACTCAGCCCCTGTAATAGGGTCAGAGGCAGAGAATCCCAGTGGAGAGAGGGGAGCCGGCCATGCAGATACAGCAAGGGCGGTTCGTCGCTCCAGTGCCTTGCCGTTCATCTTCGCACCCCTGGGCCAGACTACACTCACTCTTCAGTAATTAAAGGTCGAGACAGAGTCTGTGTCTCTCACATGGATAGGCAGACCATTCCATAAAAGTGGAGCTCTATAGGAGAAAGCCCTGCCTCCAGCTGTTTGCTTAGAAATTCTAGGGGCAATAAGGAGGCCTGCCTCTTGTGACCGTAGTGTACGTGTAGGTATGTATGGCAGGCTCAAATCTGAGAGATAGGTAGGAGCAAGCCCATGTAATGCTTTGTAGGTTAGCAGTAAAACCTTGAAATCAGCCCTAGCCTTAACAGGAAGCCAATGTAGAGAGGCTAGCACTGGAGTAATTTTTTGGTTCTAGTCAGGATTCTAGTAGCCGTGTTTAGCACTAACTGATGTTTATTTAGTGCTTTATCCGGGTAGCCGGAGAGTAGAGCATTGCAGTAATCTAATCTAGAAGTGACAAAAGCATGGATTAGCTTTTCTGCATCATTTTTGGACAAAAAGTTTCTGATTTTTGCAATGTTACGAAGATGGATAAAAGCTGTCTTTGAAAT